TAGGAGCCGGCTGTCAGTCACCTGAGGCCTGCTGTGGCCCTCGGCACAGGGACGGGCTCAGCCGGTGGCAGCCACTGCTGTCAGGGAGGTCACTGTGCAGCCCCCTTTCTCAGGGCCGCAGGGTCCCCCTTTGTCCCTGGAAGTCTGGGCATGTTTGGGGCTGAGCGGCCTGGGAGCCGGGCAGCGGGCAGCCCAGGGAGCCAAGCCGCGGATCCTGTCTCAGCCGTGAAGTTGGAGCAGGAACCCTCTCCAGAGCGCCCCTGAGGACACTTGGGGCACAGTGGGGGGGAGTGCGGATCCCCGTCGTGTGTCAACAGACCGAGGCGCCTGCTCATGACGGTGGTTTGAGACCCATGTGGCAGCTCTTGGAGCTGGTGAAACATGAGACTCTGCAGGCCCGGGTCTTGCCTTGGCGACACAGAGCTGCCCTGGAGCCGGGAAGGAGCCCACACGGTCTTTCAGGGGCACACACTCTGCTTCTGTTGCAGAACTGAATTCACTGCCGACGATTTAGAGGTGGAGAGCACACATCAAAATGTCTTGCAATTGGATCTGCAGGGCTGGGCCCGCCTTCCCGGGGGTAGCAACCAGCTGGGTGTGATTGACCCAGGAAGCCATCTGAAGGCCAGTTTGCCACACCAGGGCTACTGCCTGGCCGCTGTGGGCATCTGAATGTGAGACCCGGGTGCTGGTGACGGAGACAGACTGAATATGTACCGTTAAGACAGAGTGAATGGCTCAGGGCCGTGGATCTCAGTGGGCCAGTTCTGCTCCCCAGGACGGCAGCAGGGTCTGAAGGTGGACCGTCACCACGTCAGGAGGGTGCGCCTGGCGTCTCCTGGGTGGAAGACAGGCAGCATCTCATTAAGGGGTTCTTCTTCCTGCCCCGGATGGTCCAAGCCACCCTAAAACTGACCGTCTCAAATAGTGAGTAAATAACAAAGCACAAACACTCAGAAATCCGTTTGCAGAAAAGCAGCCCCGGATACGTCTACTCCCCACGGAGCTGGAACTGGACAACGGCCAGCGGCTCCTCGGGTGGTTTACTCATAGGAGTCCGTCAAAGGAGGGATGAGGCTTCCAGGCCTGCGTCCTGCGGTGGGATGTCTTTGATGAATTGCAGTCAGCAGGTTGATTGGCATCTTGGCAGGGCACCCCCGACTCAGGTGCTGTGTGGGCCCCCGCAGAGCAGGATAGAGATCCACATGGTCACTGGGCAATTGGTCAAAGGAAATGCCCACTGGTCATTCCCAGACACTAGATGTCTATCCACGAGGCTTCCGTGTGCGGTGACCCACAGGCAACCCACGGACAGCTCCTGAAACCCGGGACACACAGCCCCCTCCCACAAAAGACTGTCCACCCCAAAATGTCAACAGGGTCAGGTTGAGAAACCCTGGACCCAGGGCAACGACCAGCCATGCACAGCTCACAGGTGTGTTTTAAAACTTGTAAATTAATATGCCCAGAAGTTAATCATTTCTTAGTGCTTTTTAGATTATTTAGAGGTTTTTACACTAGTGCTTTTACATCTTTTACTTAGATTATTTTCTGAGTGTTTTTTTTAAAATTTTTTCCTTAGATTTTCCTGTTCTTAAGTGTCCTGCAATGAGTGTGCATTTCTTTGTGAAAAAAAAATGCGGTAATATACTTATTAACTTTTATTAAAATGTAATAAAATAAAAACATAACAAACATAGTCCGGTGCAACGGCATAAACCTGTAATGCCAGCAACCTGGGAAGCCCAGGCAGGAAGGAGGACGGCAAATCCCCAGTCAGCCTCAGCAACTCAGTGAAACATTGTCTCAAAATAAAAAATAAAAAAGGGCTGGGGTGTACTTCAGCGGTAGGGCACCTCCCCTTCAATCCCAGGATGGATAGACGGAGGACTGGCTGTCCCTGTCCCCTCTCCCAGCCCTAACTTCTGTTTGAACTGGTTTTTCGGTGCACACACAGTATCTGTAGGACTGGATCCACGCACACTCTGTGCACTGCGCAAGTCAGGGAGCGGGTCCCATCCGCGCCCCTTACATTTAACGTTCCCATTTGTCCTTCGTGGCAGCCGCGCGGGCCGCTCCTGCGCCCCAGGGTTCCCCACTGCGCAGCGCTGAGCTGTGCCGGGCCACGTAGAGGTGGCCCCCTCGGCGCCCCGCACGCCGCGCGCCCCACCCGCAGCCGCGCCGCCTCCGCGTCCTCCGGCCCCT